AGGATGGAAGTGGGGCCTGGGCAAATAATCAAATTCTGATAGCTAATTTTTTTATTTCTACAAGGAGCTTTTTAGAGCCTCTAAACTTAATAGGTCTCTGATGTACTTGACTATATCAATATTAAGGTCTTTGAGGCAGATAATTTGCTCATGTGTAAAACAATGTCAAATGAAAAAGTTAAGGTGGTTGTGTTTAAACTAGTAGCTACTAAATCTCCAGGCCCAGATGGTTTCTCTAATTTATTTTATCAAAAGGCTTGGCCTACTATAGATGATCATATTGTAAGAATGGTGAAAGGTTTCTTTGAAAGCGATGAAGATTTGTCTAGTATAAATGGCAGCAATATTGTTCTTATCTCAGAGGTGAATTGACTGGAGAGTGTTGGTCACTTTTGGCCAATAAGCTTGTGCAACTTTGTTTATAAGGTAATTTTTAAGGTGATGGCTAATCGACTTAAAAGTATTTTGGGAAAGCTAGTAACTATTAATTAGCGAGCTTTTGTGCCCAATCGTTTGATTCAAGATAATGTATTGCTAGCTCATGAAGTTTTTCATTATCTCTAGCACAAGAAAGATATAAGTAGTTTTGATTTGGCTTTAAAAGTTGATCTTAACAAGGCTTATGATAGATTAGAATGGGATTTCCTTGAAGCCGTGCTTACCCGCTTAGCCTTTACTTCTTGTTAGATCAAATGGGTGATGAAATGTCTAACAACTGTGAATTTTAATCTCACTCTTTCAGAAAATTGTTGCTGAAGTTACCCCTGAGAGAGGCCTCAGGCACGGGGATCTTATATCTCCATATCTCTTCATTTTGGCAATGGATGTTCTTTCAAAAATGATATCTATTCATGCAACAATTGATGAGATTAAGAGTGTTAAATTAGCAAATACTTGTCCCAAACTTACTCATCTTTTCTTTATTGATGATGCTTTATTTTTTCTTAAGTGCTTTGTTCTGAATGTGAAACCTTCAAGCTTATTATGAACATGTTTTGCTCAACTTCAGGACAACAGATCAATACAACAAAATCTTGTGTTTTCTTGTCATCTAATACTCCTGATGAGGTAAGGGAAGATATTTGCTCTATTTTGGGTGTAGTTGGTTTTAATGACCTTGAAAATATCTTGGTTTGCCAACTGTTTGGGAAGGTCTAAATTTGTTGCTTTAGCTAATGTTCAAGAATGAGTAGGTAAAGGAATACAAGGTTGGAAGCAAAATATGTTATTTGATCTTGGCCTTGAGTTATTTATTAAAACTGTTGTGAATTCTATTCCCATTTACCCCATATTTGTCTTTAAATTCCTTAAAAAAAGTTGTGTTGAGTTAGATAGCCTTGTTGCTAATTTTTAGTGGGGTAGAAATGAAGGGAGAAATAAAATTCATTGGAAGAAATGGAAGGATATTTCAAAATCCAAAAGGGTTGGCGGTATGGGTTTTAAAGAGTTTGAAGATTTTAATTTAGCTTTGCTGGCAAAAAATGCTTGGCGTGTCATGCACAATCAAAATGATTTTTGGGTACAAGTCATAAAGAGTGTGTACTTCTAGAATACTAATTTTTTACATTAAAAGAAAGGCCCTTGAGCATCTTGGGGATAGACTAGTTTGCTAGCTGGACAAGATTTATTAAAAAATCTTTATACTAGGAAATTGGAGATGGCAATAAAGCTGAAGTCTTTATAGAACAGTGGATTTGGGGCCTCCCAAGTTATAAAGTTAAGGTGGAAAACTTAATTGAAGCTGAAAAGAAAATGATTGTTAATCAACTTATTATGAATAGGTTTATGGGATGTTGACATTGTCAAATCTAGATTATCTACGAGAGAAATTAAAGCAATTCTAAAAATCCCAATCTATAATGACAATCATAGAGATAAAGCAATATGGCTGGAATCAAAAGATGGGATTTACTCAATAAAATTTGGATATAAAGTAGCAAGGAAAGGCTGGGATTCTTCAAGTTTACCTAACCCACACTACTCAGAGAAACCTCTTGAAAGTCTCTACAAGAAAATATGGTCTTTACAAGCTCCTCTGAAACTTAGGCATTTCCTTTGGTGACTATGCTCTGGCTCGCTATCTACAAGGGAAGCCCTGTATAAAAGACAGTGCACCTCTTCAAACATATGTCAAATGTGCAATTTGACTATGGAGTCCCAGGATCACCTTTTCTTCTTCTGTGAATGGGTGAAGGCATTATGGCTTGGTTCACAATTTTCTTTTAACACTGATAATCTAGTTCCTATGAGAATTGATAGATGGCTGCGTGAAAATTTATTTGACAATGGTGCATTTGAAGAATATGACAGAACTAAATTTATCTCTATTTTTTGTTGTATATTTGGAAGTCAAGATGTAATTTTATTTTCCAAAATCTTCCTCTGGAGCCTGCAACAACTTTAAAGCTAGCTGAAAGAGCTTTTCAGGAATTTTGGGATGTGGAGATGCAAAAGAGTAATAGACGCTTTATGGACCAAGCTGTTATTAGGAATCTCCTTCAAGACCACCTTTCTCGCTGGCTTCCTCCAGCTCAAGGTCAAGTAAAGATAAATGTGAATGGCTTTTTTCTTCCAGATCTCGAAAGAGCAGGAGTTGGGATTATCTGTAGAGACTTTATTGGTAATTGGCTTCACAGTTGGGCTATTTCTATGGAAGTTAAATCCCTACTTGAGACAGAACCTTTAGCAATTAAGAAGGATCTTGAGATTGTGGCAGAAGTTGACCCAACAGATACGGTGATTGAAATTGATAGCTTTGTTGCCTTCCAAGCTTTATCTTCTAATTGCCTTCTTGGTTGTGAATGGCAGAGTGTTCAAGTTCTTTTGGATGTTTTAGATCTAAAACATAAATTGAGCTGGGTTTCTTTCTCATTTGTGAAGAGATTAGGTAACAGAGCTATAGATTTACTAGCAGCCTTTGGTTCGACCCCCATCCTCTCTTCTTACCAGTATGTCTGAAGATTTGCAAAGCTTAGATGCTAATAAAGTGCCACATGATGGCATTGGCTGAACTGGCTTAACTTCTGTTTAGTTTTTATGTTAGTGTTGTCTTTTATTTTTTGCTTGTTCCTGTACCTGGTACGTGTTCGATTTTTTGATGATAGTTTCCATTGGCCAAAAAAAATAAATTCTTGTCTTGCAAAAACCAGCATTATTAGCATTAGCAAAAAAAAAAATTAAAGCTTCAATTCTATCAATATCCAACATCTGAGCTAAGGTAGATGGAGGCGAAAACACCAAGCCAACTGGTTCCATCTTCCTTTTAGCCTCTCCTGCAAGAAAATCTACAGCCCTATTACAATCTCTATTGATTAGAGAGAAAATACAAGTTTTTATAGAATTCTTTAAGCTTTGATTGTCTTTGATAACACTAGAGCATTTTCAATCACAACCTACAACAAAACCATTATTCATAATGTTAAACAATACTTCACAATCACCTTCCACACATTCTCTCTATAATCCCAAATCCTTTGCCCATACTAAAGCCTTTTCAGAACTAAAGCTTCAACCATTATTGCAGATGAACAACTCACTTTTTTGCTAAAGCCCAAAATAAATCTACCTTCATCGTCCCTGCCAACAATTCTAATACCACCAACATCCTACTTACAATCAAAAACACCGTCATAATTCAATTTCATCATGCCCTTTTCAAGAAATTTCCAAGAACAATTATTTTTATGGGTATGAGAACATTTAACAGCATTATTTCTTATAGATAAATCTTGAAACTCCTTTATAACACAATCAACCAATCTATTCACCTCCTTGGGATTAACAGAAACACCATCAAATATAAATCTACACCTTAGTTTCGAAATATACTAGCAAGTGAGAGCGATTCTACATTTTATCTTTTTTAAAAAAAACTGCTTTTGTTAACCATAATTCACACCACTCTTCAGTCCTCCTCACCCCCTGTCTTTTTTATATAAAACAACATATTACTTTTTAGTAGCTTATAAAATTTTGTACTTTTACATTATTGCATAATTTTAAACAAGAAATTCTAATATCTTCCTTCTGCTTCAACAATTTTTATATAGATGTATGATATTTAGATGTAGCCACTAAGTCATAACTTTTTTCGCCAGGAAAATGTCACTGAAGATAGTAAAAGGAATTATAAAATTTTTAATCCCTCACATTTATCTTAATTATCAATTTGATTCTTAAATTTAACTTTTATTAATTTTATTTTTATCAATTAGTCTTTATTATTTAAATGAAAGATAATATTGTTAAAATATACTGACTTAAATACTGATGAAAACTAATAAATTAATAAAAAATATAATTATTTAGGTTGAGAAAAACAGACTCACAAATTAAAAAAAATAAAACAACAAAACGTAACATGAGGGATTATATTAATAAAAAAATTAATTTAATTTAAAGGCTAATTTATTATCATTTAGCTACACACATAGATATCAAGTTATTAAAACACTTTAATTTATTTTTTATAATTTAAATGACTAATTTGATAATTTAAGAAAACATAAATAACCAAATTTATAAATATTAAATTTAAGAACCAAATCAATAATTGAGATAAATTTAAAAGACTAAAAATTTTATTATCTCATAGTAAAAATAATAATGAATAAAAGCACTATTACAGTGAAACTTATGAAAGCAATAAAAGCACTATTTGAATTTATTATGAATTATTTGAATAAAATACAAATAGATAAATATTAAAAACGCTAATTAATATTTTTTTTTTCTCATTTGTCCTCAAGATTTTTTTCATTAAAATTGGTGATTAGCAGTTAAAAATTATCAATAAATATGTTTGATTCAAAAAAAAAAATCAGTAATATTTATAGGAGTAATATGACCCCTTAAGCATGAACCATTGCAATATCACCCTTCAACCATACACTTAACAACTCCACATAGCAGGGGCAGATAAAAAAACCGCTAACGGACAAGGGACACCCAAATTTAGGTGAGCATTTCATAATGGGCAGGAGGCTCACAGCCACATCTCATCTAGACAACATGGTAGGGCACTATTTGTAAAAAGCAACACACATCAGTCCACATACTCCGATGAAGATTACAATTTCCTATCTATGTAGGACCCAAATCCCTTCTGCTTCCCTCCAGTTCGCTCAAGCATGTCAAGAAAGCTGTGTTATTGAATAAACTATATATATATATATATATACATATCATAGTACACTGATAACAATTCAACTGCGTATGCAAATGTTAATCTCAACAAAGTTTCAAAAGATGTGAATATGGATTTTGGTCCTTCAATTACCAAAGCTCACATTACGCGACAAAAAAATCAACCAGAGGGGAAAGACAATTCAAAGTTTAACTCGATCGCCAGGGATTTTCTCCATAATAGTATGCAGTGCCAACCATAAGGGCCACTGTGGCACCTTGGACCACCACACGAGCCCTCATTAACTTCTGACCCAAGTGAGAATTGCCTTGTCTGAAACTGATTAAGCCAGCCGTAAGCACACCAGCAGTAATAAATGCACCTAAAATTTGCACACCAGCAGTAATAAGTGACAATTTAATTCTTTAAGATTGCTTCATGATTCGTCCTTTTAACTTCTAATTCATAACATCTGTATGCTAAGCATTTAGCTTTGTTACACAAAACAAGTGAAGAAGACCAAATAGAAATATAGCCAATAAAATTAGAACCGAAGTACTAATTTAACAAAGGTCATTAAGAACCATCTCATTGGAGACAACAATCTAAAGTTGAAATTACCCAACACAGGACAATGTCTATCGCGTTTGCATGCAGGATAGAAGATGGCATCAATCAGAAAGAGAACTCCCCATCAGAATTCGTTTAAAGCACCATATATCCACCACATCTCAATCGTCAGAGATTGACATTGTGCAAACCATTTCCACCTAGAATTATGATCCATTTGCTAAATTAATTAGCTTCCAATGGTCAGCAGACAACAACCTACAGCAACCTAGTGAATTGATTGACTACATCTATGGTCAAAAGTAAGTTTCATGCAAAAGATTTTGCATCCTCAGGATATAAAAATATTCAGGACCAAGAGAAGGGAGTAATTATTACATCAACATGGAAACATAAACAGGTAGCAAAGGAGATGAAAGTCAGATTCAGATTTTAGTTTCTTAATACATGCATATAAGCTAATAAGTAAAAACCATACGGCACGGTGCTTTTTTGTACCACATTAGATTCAACAGTAAGATCTCTAATTCCCTTCGCTCCGACTCTATATTCATTGATCCAAGAACACCATTATCCCCCAAGATTACATCCCTAGCAAGTCACAACTCAACAAAGGGTAACAAAATCAATGGTCAGCGAGTATGGAGGTGGTGATTTGCTCTCAAGGTTACTACTTCAGTGGAGAAAGAAAAGCTAATAAGGCTCAGGTGTGAAGATGAGGTGTGGATAGATTAGGATGTTTGCCACCAGCCTATGAATTATGGTGATTGGCTCACACTCACCAGAAGAGCTGTGGGCCTGTGTATGCAGAGATCCGTCTATGGGCAAAGCTATGGTCAAGACCATAGAAAAACTCGAAAAGAAAAGCAGACTTTTGAGGGTGATGGATTCACCCTTGATAAGTAGATTATTGGGTTTATTATTATGTGAATGAGCGAGTTGTCCCGAGAGCCCTAAAATTCTTCTCCCTCAATCAAATCCTAAATTCCCTCGGATCTTTCTCAACATTCCGTACTTGCTATTCACCTTCTTTCCTATTCATTCAGAGGATAGAGGAAAAAAACAACAGAACAACCATATCAAACAGAAGACATGCAACATGCCACCGAAAATTCGATTAAAAGATATGAACCGAACAAAGTTATTGGGAAAAAAAAAAGTACAACTTGGGAAGCATCAAGTCTAAGTAAAAATGAAACAAGGAAATACGAGATCGCGGAGAGAGAATGATACCAATGGGGACAAGAGGGTTTCTGACGCGCTTCTTCTCTTCGAAAAATTCTTCTAAACTGCGATCATCAGTACCCATCTTCTCCATACAAAACTGAGAATTCAAGGAGAAAATGGATCAGTTCGGACCAGGGGAAGGGAGTGAGCAATTGAGGATGAGCGAAGCCTGAGTTGAAAATTGAAATATGTGGAGCGAGAAGCCTGAGGGTCCCTGACGCAATGGCAGGCTATGCACCGAACCGAACACTCTGATATTATTGGGAAGAAGTCGATTCCCTCAGCGGCCAAATCTAGTCCATTCAAATGGTTAAAAAAAAAAAAAAAAAATTTACCAGTAAATGACCAAAATCTTGTTACTACACACCACTCTTTTGATCTAAATTATAAAATATTTTTAAATAAAATTTTATATATTAATAAAATTCATTAAATATATTCTATATTTTTATTTTTTTAAATAAAAATATAAATTTTTAAAAATAATTTTTATTTAATACTTCATTGATAAAAAAATATTAAAAAAAATATTTGAGAAGAGTAATATTAAAAAATTATCATTATTAAAATTTTATGTTTATCAAAGTATTTTATATTTTAAAATGTTAATTTTTTTAAAAAAATATTTTATAATTTAAAACAGAATGAGTACATTATAATACATATGAATAATTTATTTTTTAAAAAAATATTTTAAAATGTCATGTGGATGAAAATATGTGAGGCTTAAACTAAATTTTGATTAAACAGACTTAACTTATTTATATAAATAAATTTAATTATAAATTTAAGTATGGCTTTTTTATTAAACAAATAAGGCTAAAATTTGAACAAGGTAAAGTGTACGACTCTGCACACTTATTTACTTATTTTAATATAATCAGCCTTTTTGTTGCCAAGCCAAGTCTGTAGAAACATCCAGTCTATTATATTTAAATTTTGGGGCAATTTGTTTAATAAAGAGATAATTCTTAAATTTATAATTAAGTTATTTATATAAATAGGCTTAACTTGTTTAGTTAAAATATGGCTTAAGCTTGATCTATTTTCATTTCTAGGTGATATAACAAATATATTTTTGTTACTCTTTAAAAATAAATTATTTACATGTATTTTTAATAGTCATATGATGTATGTATTAATGAGATTTTAACCATTTAAATTTATAATTTAAGCTATTTATATAAATAGACTTAACCTGGTTAGTCAAAATATAGCTTAAACTTGGTATATTTTCACTCCTATGTGATATAACACAATATTTTTTTATTATTTTAAAATAACTTATTTACATGTATTTTTAACAGCCATTTAAAAATACGCATATATTTTTTTCATGAATTTACATATATTTTTTATATGTACTGATGAGATTTTAACTATTTAAATGGATTAGATTTAGCCGCTTGGGGAGGTTGAGATTCTTGCCGCTGAGAGGATCTGGGAGTGTTATGGTCCTTAACGTTTTGATGTCGACGTAGCACTCTTTCACACCAGACATGTGGATATTCTTGGGCTGGCTAATGAACCAAATGCACTCCAACACTATTCCCTTAGGCCCAAATGTAGAAATTAATCAAAACCATCTGTATAAAAAATAAACGATCTGTTAATACCTTTATAAGTATTTTTTTTTTTTGAATATTTTTGTAAGTGTTTTTTTTAAACCTGAAAGATTATCCTAATACTTATAACTAGCGTGTATCCAACTCATTTTATTATTAAAAAAGAGAAAGAAATTAAGTCAAACAAGGGACTATTTTTATGCCTCATACCCAAGTTTAGACAAGGCACTAATTTTAAAATTAGAAGTTTCCTTTCAAGGCTTTTTTTTTTTTGGTTAATGTCCGGTATTACATTTTAGTCCTTCATCAATGATTATTTGAAGAGGTTTAAGAAAATACACATCAATTTAACTCTTTATGCCATCCACCTATTGAAAAACTTGTAAACATTATCATCACTCGCTCGCTCAAACTAATTGAAAACATTTTGTGAAATAATTATCATCAACGACCTTATGACTATCTAAAGAATACATTTGACACATTTATTTTATTCGACTAAATATTTTAAAACTCAAACTCGAGATCAAAATAAACTAATCCAACTTCTTTGGCTAATTAAACCAAACAGTCCTTGCCTTAACCAGTTGAACCCAAAAGGCCTTTGGTATTTCAATTTAACTCTTCATGGAAGCATCCCTTTATAGTATACGAAGATTAATATTTTTTTTTTTAAAAAAAAAAGCAAGCCAAGGAAAACAGAACTCTAGGATCATGAGCTAGTGTTATCCCAGTGGGAAAAGTAAAAAGATCCAATACAAAATTTCGTATTGCTCATCTGACACAAAATTTCGTAACAGAAAAATGTAAAAGAATACAGTCAAACCGATAAATTATGCAACCTGATTTGGCGTCTTCCAAACCCACGTCAAAAATAGGAGTTCTATCAGTCGCTAGAGACGTATTAACACTTGAATGAAATGAAACGCCATCTCCCTATAAACAACAGGTTAGCAAAGTCTACCCTACAAGCCTACATATCTGAACCTTTCAAAAGATGATGTAAAGGGTTAAAGAAAGGCACAATCCACAAAATCACATTCCAATTCATCCCTTGAGATCATCCGACATGGCTGATGGAATGCAGTGCGTAGTTAGAATATCAAGAGTAGCTGCTTTAGCAGTAGCTGAGCGAAGGACCACTATCTGCGTGTGACATGATTACTGGTTAATAGATGGGCAAATTCCATGTTCCACTTAAAACAAAGCCATGTTTCACACAAGCACTCAGTTGAAGAAGGAATAGAAGAGGCACCTGATCATACTCTAGATCGAATTTTAGATATTCATCATTGCAGTTCTCAACCATGGTGGCCAAGCTCTTCAGGTTTTTAACAGGTTTTCCATTAAAAGCGAGGACCTTCAGATGTAAATGGAAGGGGAGTCAGTGAAGGGCTGAGTGGACTAGACTAAATATAATATAAATAGAAGCAAGGAAATAACAATGGAAAAATAAAAATTACTAATACTAGCCTGAGTATTAACAATATCTTCATACCCAATGTTTATATCAGCTACCAGCACCTACAATTTAGCGGACACAGATCATCCAACTTTGTTGGAAACTACAAAGAAACAACAGCAAAAGGCAAGAGACAGTGACAGAGTGTACCTGAGAGACCACAACAAGTTGCTCATTTGGTGACTGTGGCATTGAATGCAGCAGTTTATCCAAAAGCTTGACTGGAGCCTCGTATTCATAATCCTTTCCATACTGTTTATACGTGAAAGAGAAGGGTTTGAAAATTCAGGAATTCATGCAGAAACACAAGTTACTAAAGTTATAGTGTGTTTCCAGATCTACAGGAGTCTAGCTGGAAAAGGTCAAAAATTTCAAAAGCTCATGGTATAAGTCTAGAAAATGTGAAAGTGAAACAAGTCATAGTATAAACTGCTCTGCCATAAATACCTAAAATCAAATAAAGGGATTGAAAACTAACACATCACTGGACTTTGATTAAATATACTATTGTATCCGACTAAATACAAAAGATTCTCTAGCAACTAACTAAACCACAGGGTCCAACTTAATTCAGGCATATCCCACAAGCACAAGGCCGATCACACATTAAGGGCCCTATAAGTGCAGTCAAGAGCCGACAATAATTCATATTGCTAATGAATGATGAACAGCACCATTCACTTGTACATGGAAACCATACTGCAAATTTACAAATTTACGTGGATGGTTTATTTCATCATTTTTCATGAAATTATCAAATTTCTTCACACATCCCAACAATCTCCTAAGCAATTATGGTCACACTCTTTGGTTTCATGAAAAATAGAATCATTTTATGTTGTTAGTTCAGCTGAAATTAATGCAGACCACAGATGTATTAGACATTTGATACCATTTCAAGAAACAAAATCTAAGAACACGAGATAGCATGCATATTAAAAAAAATTAACGTTGTCAACATAAACATGAAATAGACTGACTTTGGAAGCATACGATGGTGAATCAACCACAAACCTCAGAACGAAGATATGGAACTGAGACAGTTGTAAAAACAAATCCGGCAATGATATAATATGAGGGAGGCTTGCCCTTGCTATGTGCCGGAATGAGCCTTTTGTGACTACCAAGTTTAATGTTAAATTTCGATATCTCTGAATCTCGCAATACTTTGATTACTGCTTTATCCCCAGTGTATTTCTGAGATATAAGATAACTGAAACCAATGCGCTCTCCATGGCGAAATGGAACTGTAAAATGTAACAAAGGAGTTAAAGCATTAGGGGCAGACACTTGAACACCAAACTCAATAACTAGATACAAAGCAATGAAACATCAACATATAAGCTGAAAAGTTATGCCAGGACAGGTGCTTAGCCCAAAATTCTTCTTGTCAGCAGTAACAAGCATCACACATTCTAACAACAACAAATCTTATCCTACTAGGTGAAGATCACATATTGCTCATAGATAAACTTTAACCTCGTAGGATAGTACTCAAAATTTCACAGCTCATCTAATAAAGAATTAAGGAAAAGATCATGACAAGTATGGTACTTGAAATTTCACAGCTCATCCCCATCCCCAGGAGAGATGATTAACTAACAAAGATATCCCATCACTACCACGTACAACGGACAGGGGTTAAGGAACATACCAAGGAATTTTGAAATTTAAATTATTTCCAAAGGCTGCTGTGATGTCCCTTATTTTCCTCCAAGAAATTTCAAAATTAAATGATTTATATCTAATGGACACCCCAAGTGAGGTAAGGAACACTCCTTCAAAAGTTAACTACTGAAATAGAAGAATTAACTCACTTAAGTTCCCCATAGAACAACCATATAGTTCCTCATGTTACCTTGGTCTCCATCAATTGGATGCGCCCTTCAAAAGCAAACATCTCAGCAGCTATATGCTTTGACACTTCACTCAGCTTCTTTGCCAATCAGATCCCTCCATATATATCCTTTCCAAAGCCAAAATCATCAACTTTGATATGACACCCCTAAAAACTAACTATTCAAGTTGGAGAGCTATCCAGTTTAAGTATCCCATTCCATACTGCCATACTGCTCAATATACAACTAGGAATCTCATATTACCTAAGTCCCTCGTAAATTTTCCTTTGTGGATAGTCAACTATGTGATTGTATAGTATTTATGAACAGCCTTTATGTTTCCCGATTCTTTCCTCTCAGCTGGCCATACATCAAAAGGATTGTTCTTCTCTATGTCTCTTTATCATATAAATAGATGTTTCCATCTTATCTAACTGAGTCAAAGCAATATACAAAGGCTTTATCTGTATTATCCATCATAGTTTTGAGGAAGTAAAATCTATCAACTTTAAGCAATCAGTTATAGACATTGAAGAGTATATCACAAAAAGATCATAATCTGAGAGATGGACAGTAGAAGTAAAGAGCTCATGCTCTCGCAATTCATTTTTGTCTATAGTGGTTGCTTTAGAAAAGCAATGATAGGTCCTCCAACAAAGGAATTCTCTACCAGCTAAAAAAAAATATATATCAATAAAAATATAGGCTAGATAGCATGCCCAAAAGTATACAAGGCAGCAAAATTCCATTTACCTGTCCCATCATTGGCAATATCAACCCCATCAAAGCTAAGAATAACATCTGACGGTTTCAAAACATTAAATTCTGGAGCAGTTGGATCAATTCTTCTGATACGTACCCCCTTCTGATCAGATCTCATGCCCATTGCCATTCGCAGATCAGGATTTTCCATTTTCTGCCACTCAACCCCAAGGACAGGGAATCCTGAAAGCAGATGCAAACAAAAATAACGAGTAGATTAAAACTTCTGTACTCTTTTACCATTGTTAGATGCATCTTGTCAAAATCAAATTTACATCTTCGTATATCAAATCAGCAACCATCATACCTGTATATGCACCATTCTTCTCGTAATCACGGATGAAATGCATGATAACTGGTGTTGGAATGACATAACCTATATTTTCTGCATCTTCATGTTTGAGGGACTGAAATGCAATTCCCACACAACTTCCTTTATTATTAAACGCAGGCCCACCAGAATTACCCGAGTTTATAGCAGCATCTATCTGCAAAAGAAATAACCTTCACAAAACTAGGAAGAGACAAATGAAGCAAACCTGATGATACCAGTGAACAAAGAAGACACACTTATTTTCTACTATGTGAGTATCTGACACAGCCACAACAAATTATCAACACGAGCCTAACATGTTATGTGTACAAACATGCCAAAATGAAATATTTTCAGTTATGATGTGCATCATACACAAGTCCAACATGGCTAGCCCCAAAAAGAGAGAGAATGAGAAACTAGAAACCCCATATGGATGACGTGTAAACATGCATGTTTGTCCATGCTTCAAAGGGCAGAGGCCAGTCATTTCAACCTAACCTGTAATCCTAGAAGTTCAGCAGAACCATGGACGTATGATAGAATCTCAATGCGAGATACAACACCACTAGTCACTGAAATGGTGTCTCCGCCAATAGGGTAACCAACAACAATAACCGCATCTTGCAGTGTGGGCAAACAACCGAACTCTACAGGTGACATTCCTTGCCAGAATTCATCATCTTCAACAGTAAGCATGGCTGCAAGTGCAACATTAAGAGATTTAATTCAGATTCTTATAAGAATTATAGTTAGAGGCCTCCTTTGTGATGGATTCCCTCCAAATTTTCATAAAATAGCTGATGTTGTCACTGTTTTTGTTTTACTATTTAATTCTCATATTCATCTGGTTAATATATTAAAAATTAGTTAGATTTAGATGTCAACGGAAAAATGTGTACCAATGTCACATTCAGTCCCAATGGCAAGCACTCTGGCCAAGTATTTGGTATCGGAGCCACGTTTCTTGAGCTTGACTTGGGTGTAGTGCTCCACTGAATGGGCATTGGTGAGCACCCTCCTCCCACTTATCACAAACCCACTACTGCTAGAGCTGTACTGCCTTTTCCTCTGCCACGGCAATGAAAAATTAGGTTCTGTGTGCACACAGAACACCTTAACAACGGAGTCCATTGCTGGCACCACTCTTGCCGAAACACTCTCCCATGCAGGATCTGCTTCCATGGCCATTGCTACTGCCATAGAGCCCCCTGTATCACCAGGAACAGTAAAATCTCCATCAATGTCAACAGAACGGGAAACCCGTCTAGCAGTAGAAATTACAGGTGCCTTATCAAGCTTGTCAAAGTGATTGGCTGATTTCTTTGGTCGGCGACGGTAGCGTGGAGAGGTAGTGTTGTCAATTCGATCAACATTGCCAACAGAGAAGACATCATCCTTAGTGGAAGGGTTGTTGCTGTTGTTGTTAGGGGCAGTGCCAGTGGTAGGCAAGTCTAGGATTTCTGTAGCAGGATTTTTGGGCTTGCGTCCTCTCTTTCGCTTGTTGTCCCCCATGTCTTGGTATTGTAAAGAATCTGATTTTGGTTCTTATCTGCAAACAGTAATGAAGAAAACTGACAGAATTAGGTAGAGTCCCACGAGACCAATGCAAAAGTGATATTTTTGTGACTTTACTAATAGATTGGTGGCCTAAATAACTCTACCCGCAAGGATCATTTTCCTTTTTAAGCAAAATCACAAACGATGATGATGATAAAACCTATTATCTACATCTACCAAGATACAAACTAAAGTCAGAAATAGTGAAAAGACTACTTAAAGTTGTAGAATCAGCAAACTAGACGCTCAGATTGCAATTTACTCAACACATTGACACTTGGGTAATAAATTTGATATGATGATCAAATCAAGAATTTACAACAAAATTGCTGCTTCATAGAAATTAACAAAATTAAGGAATATAAAAAAGAAAAAGGATAGAGAATGGAACGGTAAACAAAACTAAGCTACCAAGAAAAGAAACACAATGATGGTGCATTCCTACCCATGCAACAAACTCACAAATTAAATGATGGTGACATATTTGAGAAGGATTTGGCCAAACTTATTCATAAGAATTGCTAGTTCAGCCACCAACAATTAGATAAGCATTAACCACGCCTGCATTTAATATTTATTTAAACATATATGAACTAGAAATCTTATTAAAGATCAAAACAGCTATAGACCAAGAAAGTACATCAGATATTCAACAAAATGGGGTTACGCATGTGGACCTGGAATGCTGCAGTTAGGAAAAATCGACTAGAAAGATTCGAGCTAGGACACGAGTTGGTGCGTACCAATAAAATAATTACAAATCCGAATAGGTTGTAAGGCCTCTGATATTCAAACGCCAAGCGCCACCTCCTATTCAACAAAAATTTCAATTTCTCGAATAGGCGTTTTATTACACAAATGGATAGCTCTAGATGCAGTACAGCGATTCAGGAGTAAAGAGTTAAGCTTTTAGGAATGATTCCTTCCAGAATAAGCACAATAGTATAAAGAAAAAGGCTATAAATTAAAGACAAACACTGACTGGGCATAAAAAGAAGGCGCGAGGGGTTGGGCAATGAGTTAAACGGGAAGCGAGCGGGGATAACGCATTAAAACCAAGCCAACCCTTTTCACGAAACAAAGATGAAATCCAATAACCTCAGAAAATCCCTTTTTTTCCTGTTCTATGCGGTTGTTTAAAGTGAAAATTTCAATAAAAACCAACTGCGTTTGAAGTATACGAACCACTAGAGGCATACATACCAAGCATGTACCAATTCCACAAACAAAACGGCACAAGAGGAAGCAAAAGAGAAGAAGAGAGGAAAAGTGACGCTTCCGCGACGGTTGCTGGCACAGGGCCTAATGACGGAGGGAGCGGGGGGAGGTGGAGACCGGATGAACTTTCGAAGTGCTTCGCGTGTGTTTGGATACGAATTTTAATCGATTTTCCAATCACATTACCCAAACACCAATTAAACTAAAAAATCGATTTTGCCCAAAAAATCGATTAATTCGCTAAGCTGCCAGTGTGTTTGGATACGCAATATAATCGATTTTTTACTTTAGAATCGATTTTTTGAACCAATTTACCCAAACAGTCAAAAAAAATTAAAAATCGATTATGAGGTAAAACACGCGTTTTTTCAAAAACTCCTTCGGTGCCAAAAGTTGATTAAAAGTATTGGAGAAAATTATAAAAAAAGGCCCAACAAAAAATTATAAAAAATGCACAATATTAAATAAAAATAAAACCAAACTCTTTTCTCTTAACTTTTTTTTCTTAATAAAATTTAAATTTTGTATCCTTAAAAAATTAATATTTGGTATTTAAAAATTAAATTAAATAATAATTTATATAAATAAAATTAATTCTGATTAAATTATTTAAATATCTTCAATTATGTTAAAATTAATTTTAAAAAAACAGTATCCAAACAAATTGCGTTATAATATAATCAATTATGATTAAAATCTATCACTTAATCAATTATTTTTATAATCTATTATACCCAACTGAAATCCAAACAGACCCACAACACTCAGCTTCTGTGTTAGAATTATAAAAGCACGTGGAAAAATTGTAAGAAAGGCTCAAAAAAATTATAAAAAAATATAAAATTTAATAAAAATAAAATCAAACTTTCTTATTTTCTATTTTTTTAATAAAATTTAAATTTTGAATCCTAAAAAAATTTCTAGCATAAGTTCTTATATAAAACTAATTTAAATAAAATATTAATTAATAGAAAAAAATTAATTTAATTTAATTTTAAATTGAGGATTATTACAATTATTGTTACAAAGGTCTAGAGAGAGAGATTTTGTATTATTTGTTTCATTGTTATATATTTTTATGTTGCCAAAATTTTTAGACAATGCTTTAGATATGTTTCATATTCGTGATGTTATTAAAAATTAATTTATATATTAACATCTTCATTAGTTATTGTAAAGTTAATGTTTGATATTTAAGAATTAAATTTTTCTCTTTTATTAAATATATTTTAATTAAAATATACTGAATTACTTGTTTATGTAAAATTAAATGTTAATGTTAATATAATTTAAATTTTTTAATTAATTAGACATGTAATTTAAATAATATATCTTACTTCTCCAATAAAATGTAACAACTTTAATAATATTAAATATAAATTTATCAATAATTTAATTTTGAAAGGCAATATCTTTTATAGTAATTTACACAACTAAATTTGATTTTAAATAAATTATTCAAATATCTTTAATTATATTAAAATTAATTTTAAAAAAACTGTATCTCAGTAAATTGCGTTATAACATAATTAATTATAATTAATTTATCATTTAATTAATTATTTTTATAGTTTATTATATTCAATTAAAATTTAAATGGACGCAAATACATTTGTTTGACTTTTCTTCTTTCTTTTTTTTTCTTTTTTTTAATGGGAAACAAGACAACGATGAAGCAAACAAAGCATCAAGTAAATTGTTTATTAAATTGATATCTAAAAAAAATTGTTAGTTAAATTGCTAATTAGCCAAATAAGAATTTGGAATAATGACACATAAGTCTTAATATATTCTGCATTTATTCTACAGGCTCAAAAGCCTTGCATGTGAATATATTATTTAATTAAAAAACTCATTTACTCCTAGTTTTAAAAAAATAATACCGTGCACAAGACAATAATGTATGAATCTTATTATGTTATAGACAAATATTTTATTATTTATATACTTGAAAAACTTATATATTATTATTCAACAAAATCACACAAACTATACATAATGAATGAGTTTATGTTGTTAATATATAAATATTGTTATGTTATATACAAATATTTTGTTATTTATACACCTAAGAAATTTGTATTTTATTGTTTAACTAAATTACATAAACTATATATAATAAACGAATATTATATTGTTAATGTATGAACATTATCATATTATATATGGATTTGTTGTTCACACACATGAAAAACTTGTATATTATTATTCAATTAGGCCAGATAAATTATGTATACTGAACAAACATTGTATTATTAATGTATATATCTTGTTATGTTATATATAGTCATTATGTGATACATATATGTGGAAAACCTATGCATTTCAAAAGAAGGGCAAGTGAGTCTTTTCACTAAAAAAAACTTATTTTTATATAAGGCTCGCAAAATAAATTCACAATATATTGGGCATTATGTGCAAATTTCTTTGTTTTGAAGGCCTTAGGGGCCATTCTCTCTAAGAATTTTTCTATTAAGTATTTTATTTTGTCAATGTTTGAGAAAAAAGAAAACATTTAAAATTAAGAAAAAAAGTCAGAGTGAAAATTAAATTTAAACAGAATTAAAGTAATAGGAATATGTTTTTGCTCACAGTTTTTCATAAAGAACTAAATTTAAGGTGATGGAATAAATATTTTTCCATATAAAATTTAACCAAAATACACATAATTCCATACATTTTTCTTGGCTTTTAAAATTTACCAATATCAATAATTTTTTAATATTCCATAAATAATATTTTTTTATTCTATTGGATTTTTTTTATTTTTAAAATTATTGGAACTTTAAAATTTTAATGGAATAATAATTATTTTGAATTTTTACCCTTCATCTATCTCTCCATTTATTTAGAAAATGAGAATATTTAAAATAAAACACTTTAAATTGGGAAGAAGCTACTCCTTGTTGGCCAACAAAAGATAGTAAGAAGCTACTATACACATTCTATGTCTATTAATTATTTATGGTTGTAGCATGAAGCATGTTTAAAAGAAAAGGAAAAAAGGTTACTAGATACATGTAAAATTAGAGTTAACATGTAAGCGATGAATTAACAAAAAGTTAAAAAAATCCTAAATTTTTTTGGGACCAAATATAGTATTTTTTAATACTAAAGTAGCATATGTTCCATGCAATGCACGAGTGTGACCATATAATTAATAATTTAAATGAATAATAAGATTTAAATCATAACCAAAACTTGTATTTTTCTTAAATTAAAATAATTGCAAAATTAAAGCTACCGTTATTCTTTCATATTAATTTAATTAGTATTATTTGAATGAATTACAAAAATTAATTACAATTATTATTTCATTTATGTTAAAGGGTTTGATTATTTAAATTAATTCTATTTACACATATTCATACATATACAGATACACACAGATGCATATAGTAGAGAGATTTCATTTGTTTTATTGAAAAAAATTATATTCTCATCTAAATTACATAATATTTACATATGACATGTTTAAACTAAAGTTAAATACAATATTATATTTTTCTATATACACCTATGATGCTTTTTATGTGATGTTATAATTACGTAATCTTAGCAATAATATTTTTTAAGCATAAATAGTATATCACCGTTATCCTATGCACGCAGGGAATATAGAAGTAATTCTCAATAAAGTTAAAAAATTGATTTAAAAATATAGTTATAAGTTAAAATTAATTATTAATGCGGTTAAAACAAATAAACCACATTAAAAAAACCAATAAGCCACAATAAAATAGTTTCAAATAATAGAACAAAACAAGAGCACAACATGAACGAAATGAAAAGTATAATTGATATTAATAGAATAAAATTTTTCTATTAACTTTAAAGTAAAATAATTTGGGATGCCCATGATATTTTTATTTATATTTTTTATAATTACAATTATGATAAAGTTAAGATGAATTAAATTTAAAGCAATCTTCAAAATAAATTTGAAAGTGATGAAAAAATTGAATCTAACAAAAAAAGCCACGACGAGAATATAATTTCCATAGTATGAAAGAATAACATATACTCTCGTCAGTCCTATTTCTAAGACACCTTTTAAAAATAATTTTTAGTACAAAAAATAGAACACCTTATAATAATTAAATTGCTTTTTCTAATTTTACCCTTTTTCAGTTAACGTGAAGGTATTTAATAAAATTGTATCATAATTTAAAGCCCAAGATAAAAATAAAAATATATCTTATTTTTTATTATATCAAGAAAAAATAAATTTTTTAAGATACGTGAAATAGTTAAAAGTGTCATACAATAAAGATCAAAGGGAGTACTTCACAAGTGCATGATTTGATCTCACTTGACCATTCTTGAAATTCTTTCTTTGTAGCAACACTTAGACAACCACTGAATTGATAATGCAGTCATAACATTGCTATCACTTAAGAATATGAATATAGACTTGATAAATCAAATATTATATTATTTACAATGCCTATTAATAAGAACAAACAAGCATGCTTGCACTTAAGATGGGCATGAAGTAGGGATAGTATACCTAGATCATACCTTAAAAAAAAAATTCACCTACAGTCTTCTTTTTGTAATGATCAAGCGCCTTAATAACATGTGAAAGAGAGCAGCATAACACCCACTCTCTAAAAAATATTAAAAGGCACTAAAAGAGGAATAATTTTGAAAACAAATAATTAGTTTTTATTTTCTTACCAAATTAATATTATCAATTAGCACCTAAAATATAGTGATGGGGCTAGGTGGAGTGATAAGCAATCGGTGGCAGGACCAATGGTGGTGCTATTCCATGTTAAAATCTTCTTCTTATTCAACATCACGATCATCGAGGTCATCAATCTCTGGCTAGTTTGATATAAATGCAAAATAAATTAAGGAAGGGGATTTGAATTTAAAAAGAAACAATTAACCCACATCTAGAAAATATTGAGAAAAGACTCTATATGGCAAGGAAAAAATCCATGACAGTTAGTCAAATAAACTACATGTAATATATTTTTTATCAAAATTTTCTCAAGATTTTTAAGATAAATAAAAAGTTGAGAAGTTAGGACAATTAAGAGAATTTCAAGAATAAGGAAGTTACATAGAATTTGCTTATTATTAAAAATTTTGCAACATTTTTAAAATTGAAATTTAAAATTATGAGTAATTTCTC